TTCAACAATTCTTGGCAATACTCAGCAGCATCCTCCAACATGGCCAACAACTCTTTGGCAATAGTTGGTGCCATGTCAGCGCGCGCTTTAAACGGATCAATCATTGGAGTTCATAGCATCTCGCCGTTGAACTGCCAATGCAATTTGGATAATGGAGAAAGTGAACCAGGCGTGCTTTCAGCGATGATTCACAGTTGCCATGGTTAAAAGGTGTTTCATATTTGCGCCCCTACCGTCTTCACTGCATCCTGCATTGTCGATTAGAATATTGCGCATCATACTCAACAACCCTGCAAGAACATTGGTATGATCCACCCTACTATCAAACTGTTGAGAATAGATTTAAACTGGAACTGTTGTCCAAATTGTCGCGCTTGTAGCTGGCAATGTCCTTCAATGTTGTGCCGTCAACCCAATACTTGATTTAGCACCTGCAATCCTTCTGTGCCACTGCATCACTGTCATGTTTGGGTGTGCCATTGAGTCCAAATGTCCCAAGCCACACCAGGACATAAATCAGCGCCTCCCAGTCGTCGAGCTCGCGCTTGTTGCTGTTGCCCTCGAGGTTGTTCACGCTCATGAAATTCAGTGTGCCGATAGCCGTTCGCATCGGCCCAGATCTCGCAGTCGATCGCATGGTCAAATCAATCAACATGCCCTTGACAGTGCCACCATCATACGCCGGAAAAGAAAGTTGCTGCTGAGATACACGGTGCAATAATGCAGTGCTCGCATGGCGCGGTGGCGCGCATAGCCCGGCAACAGCGATGATCAGCTCGGGAACGGACTGGAGCCTATCAAGTGGCATGCCAATCGGCGACGTGGCATGCGCTGTGTGCACAAAATGGCAGCTCCGAATCTTCGCCGACTCGACATGCAAATAGGCCTCCAAGAATACTGCGCGTCGTGTCCTCTATATGTATTGCTGCTGCAACTCTGGAAATTCAATGCGACCGCCGGCTTCGAGGACCGGTATGTGCCCGCAAGCTCTGGATAGCGCTCGAGTGTCCGGGTGATCTTGCGCAGATGGGCAACCTCGTCGCGCACGTCATTGTCGCCCACTTCCATCACCCACCTCGGTCCAGGCGTCCTTGATAAAAACGGTGCAGTCCTTGCTTCTGATGCG